AAATCTTAGAATTGTGGAGTGGAATTCAATCCTTCTTGGCATTATTAAAATGGACTTTTCTGTTTTTAGGGAGGTACAGCCTTTTGCTTTATATCTTGCTTTTTTCCACTTGATCTTCCTCGTATACCTTCTTCTGTGTTGCAGCACATTGTTCAGCCAGAGGCAAATTGATCATGAAGGCCCTTCCCTTTAGAAAAGCCCATGAAAGGAAGAAAAAGGTAGTCTTAAAACTCTGCTTCCAGATTTCTTCTCCTCTCTAGGGAGGGAGAAGATTTTACAGTCATGAAAAAATGCAGAAAGTTGCCCAAAATCTAAAGATTTGTGATCCTATCCCCAGGGGAACATGAGGCATCTGAACAGACAGGTAACCATTTCATACTGCTCACTGAATCTGCCTTCCTGCAGCATTGCAAAAGCAAAATGGAAGGGGCAGATCTCAAATATGGCTTCTCTAGTCACAATTTGTAACTAAAACAATACAATGATATTAAATTATTGAACTTCTTTTTACTATAACACTGCATAAAAGAAATCTAATGAGGTTCAATAAGGACACATGCAAAATCCTGCACTTAAGATGGAAGAATCCCATGCACCAACCAGTACAGGCTGGGGACCAACTGGCTCTGCAGAAAAGGACCTGGGGGTTACAGTGGACAATAAGCTGAATATGAGCCAAAAGTGTGCTCTTGTGAAGAAGGCTAACAGCATACTGGGCTGCATTAGTAGGACCATTGCCAGCAGATCAAGGGAAGTGATTTTTCCCCTCTATTCACCACTAGTAAGGCCACATCTGGAGTACTGTGTCCACTACAGAAAGGATGTAGACAAATTGGAGAGAGTCAACAGAGGGCAACAGAAATGATTAGGGGGCTGGGGCGTATAATTTCTGAGGACAGGCTGAGGGAACTGGGCTTATTTCAGTCTGGAAAGATAAGACTGAGGTGGGGATTTAATAGCATCCTTCAACTACCTGAAGGGTAGTTCCAAAGAGGATGGAGCTAGACTGTTTTCAGTGGTGACAGATGAGAGAGCAAGGAGCAATGGTCTCAAGCTGCAGCAAAGGAAGTTTCAGATTAGATATTAGGGTAAAAAACTCTCTCACCAGGAGGGTAGTAAAGCACTAGAACATGTTACCCAGGGAGGTTGTGGAATTTCCATTCTTGGAGGTTTTTAAGACATGGCTAGACAAAGCCTTGGCTGGGATGATCTAACTGGCGATGGTCCTGCTTTGAGTAGGGCATTGGACTAGAGGAACTCCTGAGGTCTCTTTCAACCCTAATTGTCTATGATTCTATATGTGCATGACTTCATGGATACATACAAGAAACAGTCCTTGCTACAAAATACAGTAAAAGCCCTGTTATTTGGCACGAGTAGGGCATGGGGGTGCTGATAATCTAAAAAATGCTGGTTACCTGAGGCACAGGGGTTTCCGCTTGGACACAGAGTGGGGGGATGGGCAATGACCACACACGGAGCAGGGGTGGGGACGGATGGCGGTAGCTGTACGCAGAGTGGCAGCAGCACAGGGTGGTGGGTGGCAGTGACAGAGATTGCCTGCAAGCTCCCCCCACCCCTCTCTTCCCCTGCATCCGGCCAGCCAGCCAAAAATTCCAGTTAATAGAGATGCTGGCTAGTAAAATGCTGGATATCAAGGCTTTTACTGTAGTGACATATGCCTAGTGTAGCCTGTAAACATGTTGAGTGTTAACAAGAGTAGGCAGAATGGGGATCAAAGAGTAACACTACTAGCACCATGTGATTCTGGTCCCTCACATATCTTGACAGATCTGCTACTGTTACAATTAAGTTCCTTGTCAATCTAAGACAAGAGAAATGCATATTCAGTAAAAAATATAATTTTCATGTGAGGAAAAGGTGATCCTTTGATTACATTCATATAATTGTTTTCATGATCAGGCAAAAATCTATGGAAACCTGGTCATCTGCGGTGAATCTCTGCAATAGATGCTATCATGCGGAAAGTGTACAGAGGAAGCAAATTCAGTATGTGTGTGCAGGTTCTGCTTTCAGAGCAAAAGGTTAAAGCAATGTGATCAGTCTCTGAACTGATAGGAATGCTCCTCCTGTTAAAATGAGGTGCTTGCTGGGATCTGGTAGATCAGCTGTAAGAGATAAATTGAGCATTCAGATATACAGTAAGATATGAGCTGGGGTCTGCTCACAATAGTAGTAAAAGGAGTTGTTCGCTGATTTAAATCAAGGATCAAGGCCTTTATAATTAAGCTTGAAGCTTACTAGCAAATCGCTTTGCAGTTTCATTAAGAGAAGAGCCCTGCCTGAAGACTTGCCAATTTCATCATCCTATCATCAGCTCATATGTTTTGCATGTGTCTAGCACATAAAAAGAGAAAAAACCTGCCAGCTAAAATAGTAATATTAGGTCTCTAATTTGTACCTTTTGGAAAGGGAGAGCGTACATAGAAACTGCAACCCCTAAAAAGCCACAAAATGGGGTTGGATGATTCAGATTTACTTCTTTTCTGTCATAATTTGAGAAGCACCAAAACCAGAACCTCAATTATATTGCTAATTTAAGGTGTAATTTTGGACAATAGCTACATCTATACCCAAGATTTTTTCTTCATGGAATATGGAAGATGGACAGTGATAGATGGTGATAGAAGACAAAGGTGATCCAGTGATCTGGGAGACGTTAGGCTTCAATTTTAATATTGTTTCCTGCTTTTTGCTTGCTTCTTGGCCATAATCCTGCCAATTGAATTTATTTAAATTGGAGTAAATTACACTGGGTGTGTCTACACATGCATTTGCACCACCTTAAATTTACTGCACAGTAAATTACTGCGCAGCTATTAGGAATAGACCAACATCTACACATGCAGGCAACCTGGGACTAAATTTAATCCCAGATCAGAGCAGTCTGCCATGTGCCCCTGTGGCCACTGGGAGGAGCTCCAGCCTCTGACCACATGGCTGCCAGAATGTGGGACTATTTTTAGTCCCAAACTGAAGCCAGAGCCAGTTGCTAGCACTTGGGACTAACTTTAGTTCCAAGCTGAAGCTAGGAGAGGTGGCCAGCCAGAAGCCCTGGGGTTGGACTCAGGCTGGCCCCCTAGTGGCTGGGCATACCCAGCAGGGAGGCCCCCTGGGTTACTGCACAGTAATGCATCTACACGTGCATTATTGCACAGTGACTAATCAGGCATACATTTGATACCTGCATTATCCACCATGCAGGTATTAAATTTAAGCTCAAGTCACCGTAAATCACTGTGTTTACTGTGCAGTACGGGTGTCCACATGTAGACATGCACCTGTTGCATTTAATGATGTTTTGTTTAATACAATAAAGAGGTAGGATAGTCTCCCTCTGACCTGCTACAGGGGTGACTGGTGTTCTGTAAATGCCTACAAGAGATTTAATTGTAACTGAGAAATCAGTTTTGTTTAAAGACTATTTATTTCTAGAATTTGTCCTCTAATTTATATAAATCAAAGGAATGAATTTGTGTGATACTGATATCAATATAATTCAATAAAATCATTCTACTGAATTATTTTTCTTTGAGAGGTTCCATTCCAACTTAACAATATTAACTGAGATGCCTTTTTCAGTGAAAAGAAAGTCATTTAAATATTATTTTTAAAATAAGGCCAGTGCTGTTGCATGAATCTTACATCAATGGGTGCTATAAGAGGCTGCATTGAGTACCCTCCTTTCCGCACCATGTTACACTGACAGTGTGCCCAGCCTCTGGTAGCGCTGGCCTTGGTAGTCAACAGAGGCTGCCAATTTTCTCCATTTTATATAGTAACCTAGGTATAGCGCTAGTATAGTTCCCATCCAGATTTGCACATGCACAATTTACCTCGTAGTGATTTCTAGCTTCTTGCCTATGCTGCATTACTTCTGCCGGACAGTTCATAAGCAATCAAAAGAATTTTAGCAGAAGACACTAGTCCACATAAACTTGTATTCAAACTGACAGCAAAGAAAACCAAGGATGGGTTCCTAATTTGTGGTTGTTTAACAAAGCTAGATTGTTGACAACACTATAAACATCTCCTCAATATGCCAATGGTTTGTCTACAATTTTTCAGAAATGGAAAAAAGCAAGAGGGAACTCAGGAACACATGTTCCAATTCAGCTGGGCAGAAAGAGGGTCACAGGAAGAGCAAAGCCTTAACGTTTATCCCTGGCTCAGGAATTCAAAGCTATCAATAAATATGCTATGCAAGTGACTGCTAAGCTTTGAGCTGTCTCAGGCACTGGCACTGTCAACTTGGGGGAGCTGGCAAGGAGGAGGCAGGAAGTTTGACAACAAAAAGAGCAAAATGAAAAAAGGTTGTAAGATAATAGGTATATTGATTTACATGCTTCAGTTGCCAGCTCTTGCTTAGGAGATGAGAGCATCTTGCATTTGTATAGCTCTGGCATTCAGAAAACCTCACAAAGCACTTTTCAAACAAACTGGAAGGAAATCACCTACCCAACCCACCAATGAAATGCAGCCAGCTCTGGGGTGGAATGCAACTGCTGTTTGACAGAGCATGAAACACCATCGACAGTGTAAGGCAGAGAATGTACTATCTGTTCTGAAAGCACAGAGGAAATGAGAGACTGCAATTACCCCACCTAGAATATGAGCAGTGCAATGGGGCCAACATCCCTCCTCTTACAGAGTACTGTGGGACCCTTATTTAACATTATTTTTTCAACTTGTCTGGAAGTGACACATTCAGCAATATAGTGCCCCCTAGCGCAACACAGACACTAGTTCAATAGTGAGAGGTTGTAACTCCCTCGCCAAACACTGAAACTATAAATTCCATACCATTGCAGTTCCTCACTAGTAGGAGCATCAGTAGAGGCTGATGTGTAGTGGAGTAAAGGGAAGTTTATGTGCAAAGAGCTCAAATCTCTTCAGCAATTACTGTGGCGGCTAGAGCAAAGTACATGAAAAGGGCAAAACAGATGTCTACTTTGAGCAGTTAGATGATGTGATAGTAGGAATGCCTCTTGAGAACTGCAGCCTCCACTGTTTCTACATCAGTGTCCAGCTGTAACAATGGGGAGTCATAGATCCCAAATTGACCAGTGTAGATGCAGCCAGAGTGCCACCTACTGAATCACCAACACCACTTTCTCCAGCACATCAGTGTTCATTTGTAATCTTCCATTCAAGTGTAGACTCAGCCCAGTCCTGCTTAGCTCGTGCCAATCAAAGTACAATTCATATGACTGTAAGCAGTCAGGTGTCAAGAAAGCAGAAATTATACTGCTCAAGATTTTTGTATGGTTTCACAGAAAGTAGCAAACTCCATCTCTTCTTTTTTTGGTGCTACCTCCCACATAGAGCAATGACACATGGCAATATTCAGAATTTCATGGAATAATACTATTTGCATTTCTGAAACAATACAAGGCTTTCCTTTCAAAAAGTCTTGTGTTATCTAAAGCTACTACTGAATGAAAATCTGATTTCATTTGTATATATCATACAGTCATTTACAATGCCAAAGAAAGAACCTTAAAGTAGAATTAGTATAATGCTATTAATAGGCTTAATAAAAAAAAAAAGTTGAAGCACCTGGAAAATAACTCTAAAATTGACATCTCAGGTTCTGTGCTCATCATCTATCAATAACTTCATATCAGTTTTACTCAGTTTGCAAGTAAAGAGAAGTTGGTAATTGTATAGGAGCTGTAGAGATGGTATAAAAACCCTCATCTGTAAAATAGGGACAATATTTTTTACCATAATCAAAGCTGAAAATATATAATCTTTGCTGTGGAAGCATTTTTATCCACATTTTATAAGCGCTAAGACACAAAGGAAGAAATCTGGACACTATTGGGATCAATGGCAAAACTCTTATTGAATTGGTACAGAAGCTCAATGTACTGGTCTTACCTAGATTGATCTGATTTGTGTATACCACAAACCAGGTCTATCTTAGACTGCTTATACCCTTTTTTAGACTGGTTTCAAACTTCTGTACAGTTATGGGTTTAGATCAATTTCCAATCAGGTAACAGGTCTGAGTGTAATGTCTATATATGGCCATTGACTTCAGCTGACTTCAGTTGCACTCTGAGTTCTAAGCAATTTGACCAGCATGCCTGTGACCTAGGTACTTAAGTATTGTGTTAAGCTGACCATGTGACACCACTCTCTGCGCTATTAGCTTGTGACAATTTCATTTAATGCCTTTAACAGGAGTAATCTGCTAGGATGTAACAACACTGTTTTCAGGACGTAATCCTGCGAGGCCCCTATATGCAGAGCTTTGATTTAATTCTGTAAAAGGTCCAGACATGGGAGGCCTTGTGGCAGTAGCAGAACTAAAAGAAATGAGGGTGCACCAGTCCAGGGTGCTGACTTACAGTGGGCATCAGAATACCGCCTCTGCCCCACACAGTCTTTGCTGCAGCAGGATAACTCTTCACTAGCTGGTTGAAGGAGCTGGACTGGGCTGGAACAGCCATGCACTGGCTGGCCACAGGGGCCAGCTGCAGCGATACCTGGGGCAAGTAAAAAAACCCTTCTCCCTACTCCCCCACACTCTGGAGCAGGGGAATGTTGCATAGGGCATGAAACACATTAGCTATGCCTCTGCTTTATGGGACAGCAGCCTTTACAAAAGCACTGAAAAGCATCAGGGAATGAGTATCCCAACCAGTGAGCGTGTAGTAGTCAGTGGTCATGCATAGAGGGTACACGGGGGTGCATGTGCAGCCCCTGACCGGCTGCACTCACCGCTTAGACGATGGGCGGGGGGGCAGGCAGGAGTGCTGGTGCCCCACTGTGAGCACTGGCCGATCGCTATGGCTGCTCCCGGAAGTGGCCACAGCTGCTCCCAGAAGCGGCTACAGCAATCAACCTCAGCGATCAGCCGTTGCGGGATTGGCTGTGGGGGCCCCCCTTGGGCAGCAAGATCGGCCACAGAGGGACCCCCCCAATGCAGCAAAATCAGCCATGTGGGGCATCCCCCCCGGTCAGCGGGACTGGTCATGGGGGGGGGCATGTGCCCCCCCGACTAAGGCGGCACCAGTTGCCCATGGTAGTAGTTATATTTTGTTTGAGAGAAATATGCAAGGGTGAACAACTACAGCATTTGCGCATTACCCCCAAGTTCTCTTGTGAATAAAATGGAAGAAAAGGGTGGAGGCCTTGGAAATAGTTACTACATGAAAAGAGAAAAAACAGATGAAAAGAAAGAATGCTTCTCCACCCCGTCCCTTGTGCCCATGCTATGACATTAGAGGACTTTGGGACATTGCTGGGAGAAATATGCACCCAGACTAGAAAGGATGTTTACAAAGGCTCACGGATGGGAATATACAGAAGGAAGATTTGACAAATAACCATTCTCTTCTATTTCTCCTTAGTTACAGTACAGAGAGATGTTTTCCACACAGACATAGAGGGTGGTTTAGAAAGCCTTCAGGGTAAATGGCACTTTATATTCACAGAGGCAGGCCACACACAGGGATCATGCACACACGTGCGTGAGTGCGCGCGCGCGCACAC